GCGCCGCCGCCGCCGGGTGTGGCGCTCGCGTCGGCCTCAGAGCGGTGGCACGTGCCACCGTCGCCGCAGTTGGCCGGATTCGCGTCGCCGCCCTATGAGGGTGCGGGGGGTGGCCCGCCGCCTGTGCTGCTGTGAATCGCGCGTTCCCTTTTTTGGAGCTGTATGCTGCATTCGAATGGCTCTGGCCGGCTAAAAGGGCCTGGGTTCCTTTCTTGCAAGCGTCAGTTGCACCCTTTGCACAAGCATCTGGATGGCGCCGTGGCCCAAGCCAGAATTTCATGGCTGGCCAGGGTGACTTGGCGGGCCAACACAAGCGATCGCTGCTATTGCGCGGAGGGTATGCAAGTAAAGTCATGCGTCGACTCATACTCAACTGCCCAGCGCCCAATTGCGACAATGGGGCGGGTCATGTCTTGCTGCACGGACCGTCGGGCTGCGCTGCGTTAACCCAGGCCACGTCGCGGCAGCAGCTGGGCTGAACAACCACATTGAAGGCCCGCAAACGGTCATGAGTTGCGCGGTGCTGGCCAATCCAAGATGTGACGGGGGCCCACAGCTGTCGAGTGAATCACCGGATGTTGCTGTTTCCAGTTATCCCTGAACATGGGGTGCGAGCAAATGAGAGACGGAGGGGGGAGAACCGAGTGGGATCGTGCGCGGGGGCAGAGCAAGCTAGGTCCATTGTATGCCGGCAAATTCGCTGCAGGGTTCTGTGGAGGTTGAAGACTATGTATCTACTGAACCCCAACACGGACCCCAAACATGGATTGCTGGGGTGCTGGTGGCATGCTTGACGCTTTGCATGGATGAGGTTGATTAGTTGGGTGTCCAGGCCTGGTGCCTTGACCAAGCCACATCACTGGGTCACTTGTGAACTTGGTGGGCGAACCCGTCCGCACCGCCATGTACAAAGCACTCTTATCAAGGAGCCTGACACGGACGTATTTAGGGTTCAGCGGCGCATTCCGCCATTTTTTTGGGCGCATGCAGCTTCATCCGTGGCTGTCACGAGGACGGAGATTATGCAATCTGCAGATCTTATCGATCGCTGGCCCACGCTCTTGATAAAAAATATGTTGTCATAACTCAGATCTTGCACGGACCATGGTGTGAACGGTCCGATTCCAGCCAAGCATCAGTCGCCGCCAGCCGCGCAGCAGTCTCCCGCATGCCCAGTCCTGATGGCAACCATCAAAGCGTCGCCCGGCGATGAAGAACTGCAGCCGCAGGCGCAGGGCGCGGCACCCTTGATAATCACGCGCCCCGTGCTTTTCAACCTCTTGCCGCTGTCGTACCCCTTTGGCAACACCCCCGTGAAGGCCGTCGTGCCCGCCGGCGCTGCGCCGCGCGACGCGCAGGTAAGGGCTCCTGCTGTGCGGCTCTCGAAAAAGGGCACGGAATCGCGCCCCTTAATACCGATCTTCATGCCATGCCAGACCTTACACCCGGCTCCATGTGCCCGTCTGCTGCCGTCATGGCGCTCCGACCCACTCGCTGATCGCTGCACCGCCCCGCGCAACTAACCGCCGCAGGTCCTGCTGCTGGGCTGCGGCGACCCCCGCCACGCCCTGCGCACCATCGCCGCGCTCGCCGCGTCCGGCGCCGAATCCGCCACAATACACCTGAACGACCACTCGGACTCGATCCTCGCGCGCGCGGCGCTGCTGCTGCAGCTGGCGGACGACGTCAACCCGACAAACCCCGATGACGTCAGCTTCCTGTTCGCGGTCTGGTTCTCGTCCGCGCTGTCCGGCCCCCACACCGAGCGCCTGCGCGCTGTGCTGCGCGCGCTGCTCGACGGCGGTGGCGCCCGCTTCGCAGGCGGCGGCGGCAGCGGCGGCGCGGCGCTCCTGCGGCGGTTGGAGGCTCGGTGGCGGGCGTGGCTGGAGTGCAGGCGGAGCGGCGCGAGCGTGCAGGCGGAGAGGTGCGTGCGCATTGTGTGCGCCAGGCCCTCAGCTGAGGCGGCCATGCCAATTGGCTCACTCAAACGTGTGTGCTTTCACACCGCTCCCTTCTTGCCACGTCCAGCTTGCTACCAGTGGCTCGCCGCGCCCAAAAGGGCCGCCCCCCCTCTGCCGCCTCCAATGTTGACCGGCAAACCCTGGCCGCAGGCGCGAGTGGATGCTCCCGCGCGTCCTAAGCCGCATGGACGAGTCGGCCCGGCGCGGATTGGGCGCCGGCGACAGCAGCGGCAGCGGCAGCCGCCGCGGCAAGAGCTTTGAGGAGGTGACGGACACGATGGCTTTGCAACTGACGATGTCACTCGAGGTGAGGGGGCGCGCGCACACATCGGGACGCTCATTGCATGTCTTCACCTAGCGCTTCCTGCATCGCCGCGGACAGCGGCGGCTGCGCGGGTCAGCAGGCGCGGCGCCGGGCCCCTCGCTGCAGCAGCCGGCTTGCGAGGGACGTCGAGGCCGTCCCTTGCTTTGATTCAAATTTACGACTTCCCTGCCTCAGCCACCTCTGTGCCATCTGCACAGTCCCCGTCCCACTGAAACGACACCCAGCCCGCCCATGCCCTGCTGCTCCACATGCACCCCAAACAGGTCAGCACCGACATGGCCCCGCAGCTGCTGCAGCGGCTGCGGCGGAGGCGGCGGCCTGGTTCCGCACCGGCGAAATGCCCTCCCTAGGGTCAGCAGCAGACGCCCAGGCCAACCCCACGCTGCTGCAACCAGATGGTGCGGATGCCCCACAGGGTCTGGTCGCCGGCATCCTGTTTGCGGCCTGCTATAATGTTCCCAGGCAGGCGCTGAAATGCACAAGCTCGAGCGCGCCCTTCCCCCCTCTGGCGCCCAGCTGCGCAAGGCGCCGCGGGCGCGCCGCCCACGCGGGCACGCCCCTGCCCGTGCGCTCTCGTCAGGCGCCACGCGGCGCGCCTCGGCAAGCGCAACCCAAGCCTCGGCGCGCCCCTCTCGCAGGCTCTTGGACCGTCCACTATTCGGCCAACCCCTTGGAAGCGTTCGAGCCCCTCAGGCGGCAGCAGATTGCGGACGCCGCGGCGCGCGCGGGCGTGAGCGGCGGCAGCGGCGGCGGCAGCGGCGTCGGCGTACTGGAGGCGGCGGCGGCCGCGTCTCTGGCGCGGCTCGTGTCCGAATACCAAGCGGCCGTGAGAGGGGCAGGAGGCGGCGACGCCAGCGCCGGAGCCCAGGCGCCGCGCAGCGCCAAGTCTGGGCGCAAGCCCGCCGCCCGTGCCGCGCCCGGGCGCGCGCCGTGCGCAGCGCGGTTCGCCCTCTGGGGCGGCGACGCGCTTTCGCTCTGCGCGGGCGCCGGAGCTGAGGAGGCGCTGCCGCGCGACCTGCGGTTCCACGCGATCGACGTGAGCAACCTGCCAGACCATGTCGGCCTCGCGAACGTGCTGCTGCTGGCGGGACCCCGGCTGGCGGCGGGGCCGGCGGGCACAGGCGCGGGTGCTGCAGGGGCGGGGGCGGCGGCGCCGGGGGCTGCGTCGCGGCTGTACCTCGACCTGATGGTGTGGGCGACCAGCGGGGCTGACAGCCTGCAGGTGGGCCGGGGCGTGGGCCGGGGGCGTCATGCGCACGATGGAGGGGCGGGGGTTGGGGGGGCTGGGGCGCCAGGTTTTGCTGTGAGGGGTGCTGGGCACGCCCGGACGCGGCGATATTGGCCAAAGGACTCCGCTGGTTGCAGCTCGCGGGACGTGTTTGCCCATGCAGCAGATGGGAGCCAGCGATTGCTTTGCTTGACTGACACACACACACACACGCTCACACACCTCTCTGCCGCCGACCAACCCCACCCGACCCAGGCATACCTAGAAATGGCCCTGGGCGCCCCGCCCTCCATGCTGCCCACCCTCTACGGGTTACGGCTAATGGACGACCTGCGGTGGGGCCCGCCACGCAAGGCCACCCCCTTTGAGATGACGATCGACACCCCCGGCTCACGCTCCCTGTCCTTTGCGCCCGCAACCGCATTCGCCGCTGCCGGCGGCGCGCGGCCCCCGCTGCTGCTCCCGCGGTCGGGCGCGCTGCTGGCGGCGCCGGCGACGGCGGGGTCTTGTTCGGGGTCGAGGGACGGCGAGGGCGTGGCGCGGGCTGTGGGGGCGCTGCGGCGGCTGTGCCTCGTGGAGTCACCCGTTTCGATCCGTGGGGAGCGGTGCGGCCTCCACTCATACAGGTGGGCGGGGCATGGAGGATTGCATTTGAGTGTGATGCTGTGGCCCGGCAGGACGTGCTTTGGGGAACTTGCCAGAGGAACCGTGCTGGTTGCGGCGATTGAGGGCCAACGGCGCGCGGGGAGCGTCTCAGGGGCCCACGTGCGTCAGGGCGGCAGGGGCGGCTGAATTCGCGGCCTGCAATAGGCGCGCGGCCGCTGCCGGCCCTGCTCTTGCATGCTGATTGCTGCGTCGTCCATCCCCTCTTTGTGATCCCCAACATCCCTCCGTTGCAAAGCCCTGTGACGCTGGCCCTGCTGCTTGCCGGGATGAGGGAGCGCGTCGATTGGCGTATACCGCAGCAGCAGCAGCAGCAGCAGCAGCAGCAGCAGCAGCAGCAGCAGCAGCAGCAGCAGCAGCAGGAGGGCTGCCCTACGCCGTGGGCCTACTTCCTGGAAGCTGCCGCTGCCTATGACGTGCCCGCGCCCTTCCGGCTGGCATGGCAGGCCACCTGGGCGATCATCGGCTGTCCCGATGCAAGCGCCGCCTTTGGCAGCGGCAGCCGCGCGGCACCTGCGGAGGGAGGCCCTCTGCTGTTCACCGGCCGCCTGCTGCAGACCGTCCCTATTGCGGGCGGCCCCTGCGTGCGCGTCCTGCTCGCCCCCGCGCGCGCCGCCGGCGGCGCCGGCTTCGCGCCGGGCGCCGCGTCGGCGGGCCTGCCGCTTATGGTGCAGGCCATGTCGGGCTGGAACATGCTGCGCGTCCTGCAGTGCATCGCCGACCTGCGCCGCGGCGCGGCGCCGCCGGGGGTGCACGTGCTGGACGCCTGCAAGGTGGTGGTGGGACCCGCGACGCGCGGCGCGGACGAGCTGCTGCCGGGCGCGTCGGCAGTGTCCAGGGTCGGCATGAGGATGCCTGGAAGTATCGTTGAGGTGGGTGCGTCTGCTGTTTGGTTCTTGCTGCGGCGCCCGGGCAGCATTCCCTGACAGGCCTTTGCACGCACAGGCCGCCGTGGCACGGCTTCTGCAAGCGTACGATGCCTGAGTGGCGCTGCCCCTGCTATTGCGAACCAGAAACAATCCCCCCTCCGCAACCTCGGAAAACGCACCAGGTGTCCTTCCTGCTGCCCTCGGACCACGGCCTCGACCTCGAAAACACCGTCGTGATCTTGGAGGACATCAACGGACGCACGTCCGTTTTCTCTGGCGCCACCGACTCTGCGGCGCGCGCAGGCGACGACGACGGCGCAGATAACATGGCGTACCTGTGCGCGCCGGCGCCGCTGTCGTCGTTCTCATGCAGGCCGGTCGGGCACTGCTCTCCGCTGCTGGCGGCGCCCGCCGCAGCCACGGCCTCGCCGAAGGCGGCCGCAGCGGCGAGGCGGCTGAGCGTCGAGGATATGTACGAGTTTGCAGACAGATACAAGGTTACCCTCACAATCCCTGAACCGCCGCACGGCGCGGCGCCGCCGTCGGGCCTCAGCGTCTCCGCGGCGGCGGCGGTGGCAGCGTCGCCGCCGTGGCGCTGCGGCGGCGGGCACGCGGTGGTGGTGCGGGTGGCGGCGCCGGCGCCGGGGTACGAGGCGCGGCTGGAATTGCTGTGCCCGGTGGTGGCGGGTCAAGCGAGTGGGTGGCTGCTCACCTTGCTTATTCAATAAGCGTGGGCATGTTGCAAACGAACCCCTTCCTGCCATGACTGCAGACAGCCCCATCAATAAAGCACTACCATAGCTTTTGCCCTGAAAGTTTTGCCCTCTGCAACGCCAATCGATGGCCAGGCCTGGCGCGTACCGAGCCTGCCAGTTGGCCCTGCGGCCAGAGCGGCTTTGATGCGTCATATCACCCCCCCCGCCCCCAGTCTCAATATACATCTTCCTACTCTTGCCTCACATGCTGTTAGTTGACCCCTGCCGCCGCCGACTCCTGGGCCCCCAACGCACGCCGCGCAGGCGCCAAGCTGCTGCGCTCCAGGCGCCGGGTGGAGCTGTCCCTGCCCAAGGCGCGCGGCGACTGGCCCGCTGAGCTGGCGCGCCCGCGGGAGCTGCTGCTGCCGCCGCCTGTGGAGTGGGGGCCACTGCCGGGGTGGGCGGCCGGGGAGGCAGGGGCCAAGACGATGGACCTGGCCTGGATGTTCCCATTCTCCGCCGTGACACACTTCGTGAGTCGAGATCAGAGTGATCTGGACTACATCAGCAGATCTGGTGTGATCTGATCCCCATCTGTAGTTGACTGCCGGCCATTTCAGCCGACCAGACTGCTGAAGATCTTGCCGGGTGACTGTCAGCTTCGAGTTGTAGGGGCTGTGGGATCAGGAGCAACACCTCCAACCAGGGGGCTGCTGAGATCAAGGCGCCCAGAGCCAAGGTCCAGGTCTTGCGCAGCCCCCCCGCACAGGCCCAGCACGAGCCCCTGACGATCCCGGCCGCTGCGCCCCGCTGCCTGCCTGCAGGCGCGGACGGGCGACACGCTGCCCCTGATGCAGGACCCTGGGAACGACGTGAGGCTGTGAAACAGTTTAGGGTTTGTTGGGGACCACAAAAGAGGGGCTCGCGCCTGGGGTTGCGATTCATGCTGGGCGCACCTCGCGCTGAGGCACAAAGCATTCACAATTGCCCCTGCATGCAACATATGACGGCGGGTGCGTGTCAGCTGCCGCTGCCGCCGCGGCCGCTGTGCGGAGGCAGCGCGCGCGTCTTGGGCTCGATTTCGCTCGGCTTGGTGCAGGCAGCGCCTCAGCCGCGGCTGCTTCATGCTGTTCTGAACCAACACTGCAATATAATTGCCCGTCCCCTCGTGGCCCCCTCCACCCAAAGCTCAAGGAGTCCATCAAAATCCTGTTCCTGGGGACACACCTGCACGGGTACCGCGTCTTCCACGTACGGCCACCCTCCACGCCGCCGTGTCCCGCGCAGCCGCGCCCGGCGCCCGCGTCCCCGGGGCGTGGCGCGTCTCTCATAGGCTGTCTGCATGCACAGCGCTGGTGCTGGCGCTGCGCCTCCAAATGGAGCTTGGAGCACGTATGTTGGCTGAATCCCGGCGGCTACCCACCATGCTGGAAGTTTGACTGACAATTGACAACAGCTGTGAATGCCCAATCACTGCAATCTATATCCATCCCATCCAGTTCGTCGACGTGGGCAAGGAGGGCGAGGAGGACTCGGAGATCTACATCCGATCCCACCCGCCCGTTCGACTTCTGCCCGACGGCCGGCCGCTGCTGGGGCTCACTGTGGTGGACGACGCCCTCGGGCGCCGCCAGCTGGCCCAGGGGCGCATCGACTTTCAGCGCTCGGTGGAGAGGTTCAAGTCCGTCATCATGCAGGACGACGGCCCGGTGAGGGGGCGGCTGATGACGTGTCCTTCTATTTGCGGCGCCGCCGCGGTGTCGGAACTGGGTTTCAGCAGCGAGGCGGACGGGGTTGTAGATTTGGGCTGTGCGCCAGTGGCCGTTGGCGGGAGCACAGTAAAGCGGCGGTGCAGAAGAGTGCTTGACAGTTTTTTTGAGCACGGTTGGCGAGCTGGATGAGGCGGGATCGCCCCCACCCCCCACTCAGCCCCTCTTGTATTGGCAACCTCACTCGTTGCCCCACCCCCACGCACATCCGAAATGACCACACACTCATGACCTGCCGCAGCTGCGCACCGTCAAGTGCAGCGCCGCTGAGCTGGCCCTCCTGCGGGATATGCTGGCGCGCAACGCGCTGCGGGTTCTGCCCCCCGCCTGGCAGCGCGCCCACCTCGACCCCGAGGATGACCCGGGCAGCTTCTGGTACGGCAGCTGCGTGGTGCCCATATACGCGGAGCACGCAGCTTCCGAGAAGAAGGCTGCACTGGCGGATCTGACGTCTAGGGCCGGCGCGCCTCGGCGCAGCGCGGGGGCGGCGCAAGGAGGCCACGGCCGTGCTGCAGCGTCCGACCA